GTGTTGATGGCCGCGATCCTTTGCTTTTCAGCAGCGTGTTGGCATATGATTTGTGGCGCGCGCGCGCACGGAATAGGCCCGGGGGGGGGTGATGAATGGGGAGGGTTTGTCGCTGCCGACACCGCCGCGTCGAGTCACGCGTCTCAAACCCCGCCCGTGTATCGATACAGCAAGAGTCGGTGGCGTGCGAGCGGCGCGGGGGTGTGCCAGACCCTCTGGGGCGATGAGCTGATGACATGTGCCCCATCAGGGGCAGCGGCGAGAACGCCACGACAAGGCGATAGTCGAAGAGGACCGACGGACTCGGGTTTGGACGGTGACGAAACGCCGCCGGGCCAAGGCGATTGCTCGCGTCGACTGCCAGTCGATAAGGCTGCTGCAGGCCTTGATTGTCTTCGTCCATGCACTTGTCAAACCAACCATGACAACAGTTCACAAGATAATTCTGGCTCATATTCCCTGGATGGGTGAGCGTATAGATATCGTTTCGTTCATCACTTTGAAGCACACTCAAGCCAGCCATACGGAAGCCTGGCACTAACATTTATAGCCTTGACCACTTCCCCCGGCTGATTACTTAAGCATACCCTGGTGCATCATTTCGTGGGTAGCAACAGCCCACCTCACGTTATCGCCCGGTGCAATCAACCCGTGCAATCAGTGTTAGTGGTACCATTGTTTCATTTGCATAGAATGCGTCCTCGCCACCGCAATATGTCTAATCGTCAGTCGAGCGCGTGCCGTTATCGTGTCGCCCCGTCCCAGCACGTGCTGACCGTATGACCGCTCGGGCAGAAACGACCTTTGGTGCTCCTCGGCAGGCGCCTTTGTTCAGGATGCTTACAGTAATGCACGATGGCTGACCAAAAAGGCAAAAGGCAAACTCGTTTGTTGTGCTGGACGTGGTGGTTATGTTGAGCTCAGTCTTCTCGGCAATGCTCATCCTCACGTGCTGGATTTGCGGGAATCGACTGGCTCCAGCGCCCAAATGCAGGCCAGTCTGGAGCGCCGCCGTGGCGTGGGCGGGGTCGAGCTCTGGTCTGCTGCGGGAGACGCCGCCGCCGTCGCCGCCGATCTTCTGACACGGATGGGAGGTGGTCAGATCATCCTGATCAGCCGTCTGTTCAGGGGTGCTCGGAGCCGACAGTCTGAGATCGTCCCTGACCAGGGCCCTTTCCTCGGCGCATGCCGAGCCCCTTCGCTGGGCCGCTGGCGCAGCTGACTGTATGTCTGGCAGCCCCGGCGTACTCCCGTGGTACTTGTTGGCCGTGTGTCTGGTAACCTGGCGTAATCCCGTGGTACGTAGTTGGCTGTATGTCTGGTAACCCGGCGTAACCCCATGTTACGAAGCTAGCCGGCTGATCCGCCCCGCCCCGGGCGAGGTGGGCGTCAGTCCTCAGCGGCTGGGGCTCTCCGGGGGGCCGGGCTGACTTCAGCCGCCGTCGGCCGGCTGGCAGTCGGGGAGTGGCCGACAGACAGGCCGGTGCCGCGCTGTCGTCTCTGGCGCGTGTTCAGCGGCGCCCACGCTCGGCCACTGCCGTCGGGGCACGGCAGCCTGACGCGGACTCACGAGCTTTGAATCAGCCACGGTGGTGCTCGGCTGGTGCAATCGCCCTTGGAGATTGCAACGTCCGCATTTGTCATGGTGCAAATGTTTTATCTGCGGACTAAATCGTGCAGTGTCCATCTATGCATACAGAGACCTCAGATGCTCGTTGCAGCCAGCTCCGAAACGATGGTGTCGCAGGCATTAAATAATTTTTTTTTTAAACGAAGCATTGGCGGTACTGTGAACGGTTTCGCTTGCACTGGCCTCGCTGGCAGTCTGGATGCTTTGCCGGCCGGTGCGCCATAGCACTGCCACTACGGCAGCGTACACCGGACCTGCCCGTCCATTAGCCGGCACTTACGCGTTTGATGGCCACGTGTGAACGGGGACACGACCTCGTTCTGCGCGCGGCCCCCTCGCCAGACGACGCGGCGTGCGCCGCGCCGTCCGGCCACCAGCGACCGTTCGGAACACGCGGCCATCATTTTCGTCGCGGCGAAGTCATCGGCGGGATTTATTGTCATAGCGCCAGTCGATGCCAGCGTTGTGCCGGCCCACCGCAGTCCCTGCATTATTCGGTCAGTTATGCACCGCCCGCCCCTTCAGCGTGTCAAACCGGGTTGCCTCCGGCCAATTACCCATTCGCCCCATTATCAAATTAATATCGGGTAACACTGCGACTCCAATTCACTCTTTGCAGTTGGTAATGACGCATTAAAATGCCTTGATTGACGGGCGATGAAGGGCACGTTTGGAAACTAACGATCTGTGGCGGTGACGTCACCGCCGTGGCTCGGAGTGGCGGCGGGTCTAGCCCGATTCAAGCGATCAATGAATCGATGTGGGCGACTATTTGAGGCGGCCCGAGCATCGGAGCTGGCCTCTGAGTCATCTCCATGGGGACGTTCTCCGAAGCCGCGCCGCAGCACAACAGCCGCCCGCCGGGCGCCCCGGGCGCCTCGGGCAGCGGGCTGTTCGTTACATGTCGCGCGGCGCTGCCGCTTTTATTGTTTGAATGGTGACAGTTGTGGTCTCGTTGATGTCGCTTATGCTGAAGCATAACATGCGCGGATCCCATTCAGAACTATAACCGCTCTCAGATTTGGTGTGCCAGTGGAGAAAACGTGCCGAAACTTGGTCTGAATGGTCGAGACATTTAATGGAATTTCATTCACACGTCAACTCCACCAAGTCTCAGAAACGAGACTGAATGCAAGCAAACTCGTAACAGACACACCCAGGCCAGATGTTATCTACAGTTTACACTAGTGAGTTCTCAGGTTTGACATATTTGATTCGTGAAAAATGCATTCGCCGTGAAGGGCTGATCATGCCATGTTAAAGACCCAGTTAAGCTCATTTCCGATGCCCGTAAAACGTTCAAGAACATATTGATGCTCTGAAAATGTCAAGCGAGGGGAAGTCACTTCGGATCACGCCACTGGCTTTCCCGGAAGTGGGGGATGTCACTTTGGGTCACGTCACTGGCCCACCCGGAGGTTGGATGAGCCATTGCAGCGCTATCCGTTTATGGGTGTTTTATGACGATTGAACGAGTCAACATACGCCAAACATATAGGGTCGGCGGGCGGCTCCCTGGCGGGCTCGTGTCGGAGCGGGCGGACCGCCAGCCGAACAGCGGGACGGCCGGGCGGGCGGGCGGACAGCGGGAGGAGCGGGCGGGAGGAGCGAGCGGGGGGTGATATGACCGATGGACGGACGCGCTGTCCGCATCATCTGTGCGCCGTCTCGGTCCGGCGGTTAATGGAGCGTGGCCGGCGGCGGCTGGTAATCACCCCCTGCGTGGCTGAGGCGGCCGAGAGATGCCGCCGACCGTGATTACCATTACTCAGCCAGTCGCACCTCTCCACGCGGTGACGTCGACCCGGCGGAAACAGTTCCCGGGAGGGACGGAGCGGGGGAGGAGCCTTGCTAACAAAGCTGTGCCTTCCTGCACCGCCTGCGGTGCGACGCACCCCAGTCGGAGCACATTAGATTGCCTGCGGTGTGACACATCTCGGTCGGAGCACGTTGGATCGGATCGCGGCATGTGAGCGTTGTCGAACTCACGATCTTTCGATCATTGCACGAGCGGTTCGTCTTTGCAGTATGGCATCTTTCGTTCGCACAGGTCATCATTTCCTGCAGCTTGGGCTGCGCCTGGAAAAAGAGGAGCCATCTCCACCCTTGCATCTGGCCAGTTATATCCCAGGCTGCCAAATGCCATGCTGGGAGCTCAGCCGGGCGGCGGGAGAAAGTGGCGCAGTGTCGGCAGAAAATGCCTGGCCAGAAAAAAACAGCCACTGGAAGGCCGTCAGAAATCGTCACTCCATCGGTTGAAAACAAGCAGGCTTGGGCGCTGGCGTTCACTCTATAGATTATTGAAGATTGGAAGAGTTGAACAACAGGACTCACACAGAACCGTGGTTCCCCACCCGGGTGGGCGATTTTTCACCGCAGTTGTTTGATGCTCATGACTAGTTGTTGGTGTGGGTTTTCCAGGTCGTCTCTGGTGATTTTCAGTATTTGCGAGTGAATGGTGGTTCATTTCTTCATCAAGTACTTCGGCTTTTTTCGGAGAAATTGCCAGATTTTCATGTGCGGGGCACAATTATGTTTTTGTGCAATGCACTGGAGTAAAATAGCAAATTGTAAATCGCTATTCCACCATTGTATTGTTCGCCTGTCAGACCTGAGGCAGGTTTATTATTTGTGATGATCTTCACTCGGGATTCTAAGTTACGAAACCACTAGAATTGCTGTGGTGGTAGTCTTATTGTTCGGACTAGTTGTCCGACGTGCAAATAAGTTTCCGCTTGCTCTTGATTGCACCTGACTTTTTGTTTATTGTGTATATTAATATATGCTGTATTTTGTTTGCATGGTACATAATTTACATTTTGTTTTTTGGATATTGTGTTTTATCTATTTTGTATATATATATATATATATATATATATATATATATATATATATATATATATATATATATATATATATATACATCACTATTTTTTATAGTAATTGATCTGTATAATTATTGAACTAGTCTTAGCATTTTGCTCATGACGTGTAGATTTTGTTCTTTTTGTCTTCCTCCTTCGTGCGTTCCTTCTTCCGTTCATTTTTTACCCCAGCTGATCTTATTTGAATTTTACGGCGTTTCAGCCTCTCCGATCTATAAGCATTTTATTCTGCCCATGCGAAGAGAAGAAAAAACCACAGACCGGCCACCACCACCAGACCGCCCAGCTCTAACCTGCGGCTCGACGCACGGGTCCAACCTGACCTGACCTGACCTCGACACGACCTGTGCCCGCAGGGTACTATGCAGGGCATGAAGCTGGTGTTTGGGCCGGCTAACGCCACCAGACCGCCAGGGTCTAACCCACGGCTCGGCGCACGTGTCCAACCTGACCTGACCTGACATCGGTCCGACCTGTGCCCGCAGGGTGCCGTGCAGGACGTGAAGCTGGTGTTCGGGCCGCACGGCTACCTGGCGCAGTGTCCTGACCTGGACGCCACGTGCCCCTCCTGCGGCCAGTTCCGCAGTCTTCAGGCGGCCGTGGTTCACCTGGAGAAGACTGTCGAGGAGCTCACGCAGCGGGTAGGTGGGGGGAAGGGGGCGTACAGCGGACGGGACCTTGGATTCCCTCTCGGATTTGTTGGATTTGTTGAATCGAGCGCTTCACAGGAACATGAGTTGTTCAGTTCGGTGTGTTTGTAAGGAGTGGAATTGGAGGGCCTAGGCGAGAAGTCTATACTGGATAGAAAGTCGGCGAAACACTTTCTTTCACGCCGATAGAGACCCCTATGATCACGAACGTCCCTGACTGGTCAACCTCACGGTGGCCGTGATGTGCGTGTGTTTTGGGTCAGCCAGGGCGAATACATCGGAAGCGCGTCAAAGACCCGGTGGCTCCAGTGCATGATAGATAACTATCAATGCAGAGCCGCCGCTGAGGTCGGTCAGTGACATTGGGAGCGGATTCAGCCACCTTCCGCTCAATCATCACAGGAGAGTTGCCGTATCAGGGACGTCACGAAGACGTTTTGCAGTGCTCATCATCGATCTGCTTCTGCGCCCGCTTTTAATAAGAGCAAAACTTTGTCTCATCCTGGCACATGACAGTAAGTAATATGTCTTAGACGTCTTCAAATGTCGGGAGAAATGACATAGTCTTGAGAGAAACGGCCACACAAACTGAAGTTTTCTCATCTGCCATCCCAGACGTATGGCAAGCCGGCATAATTTATGCACCCTACTCAGCTCCTAGTAATCAATTTCAGCTGCTGGGAGCAGTTGATGCTGAAGGACGGCGTTGCTGGCCTCTGTCTGGGCCTGACGGCATTAGGACATGCTTTTATTCAAAAGTTGTGTTGCACGCTATTGCATTCACTCGGCGAACATCGCATTACAGTGCCACGAGAACAAACATTACGCTGTCTCAACCTTTTGAAAATTATCAGCAGGTGCTACTTCGATCTCTGGGTTATGGTCGTCTTCTGGAATTGCTCAAGTTCTTGACACCACCAGCACCTACCCGGTATAAACCTGGGTTGGTGACAGCCCCCTTCGGAGACATGGAGTTCCGACCGCGCGAAAGTCCGGCGCCTTACCTAACCAATCACTCCACCTCACCACCTCGCAGCTACGTGCAATGCGGATGCCTAAACATCGCTCACGAAATCCACATTTCACGGACCGGCTAATGCAAAACAGCGCAGCTACTACCGGGTCACTCTGCACATTTTTTTCGGAATAAATGTCGCCTTGAGCTATCTCTCAGGGATGTAGACTGGGCAGCTGCCGTCTGACACAAGTCTGCGGTCCGCGCCATAAACTCGCCGCCCGATGGGCCGGCCGCAATTTGTAAATGGATGCGGCCGGACGCAGGCAAACGCAGCATAATGGCCGGACCGGCCGCCGATTGTGGCCGCTGATGGAGCGGGTACGGCGAGTGTTTGCCGCCGGCACGCGCCACTTTGTGTGGCGCCGCACACCCGCCCGTCACAAATGGAGCACGACCCGCCCCCCGTCCGCCGCCCGCCCACCCTAAAGACTGCCCGTGTAAGTCGGTGGTGGCCGGCAATTCATACCGACTGTTTGCCGAGCGGCTGCACGGATTCGGCGGCGGGCCGTGCGCTGCCGACTTTGTGGAGGTTGGTGAACGTGGAGGCGTGCGCATCAAAGGAGTCGGGAGGGGGGCAAGTCGCGATCCATACTGCCGTGATGCTTCTGTGATAGTGGAGGATGCTCCGGAATTAGGATAGCTCTTTTGATGGGCTTAAATCGCAAGGTCTATATTTTACATGAAAAAGTACATCTACATGTCGATAAGATTAGTTCACCGTTCCGTATCTTTTTGCGTCTGAGCCTTACGTAATTGGAATATGAGCTCATGGCTCACCAGATGCACGGAATGAGCCCGTCCTCAAGTTTTCCACTTAAACATTCATTCTGGGGATATTCTTAATAAATATTTGTTCAACGATCCCTGGCACTGTAGGCCAGCCCGGCCGCCCAGCGACTCTGCGGCACAGTATACCAGCAGCGGCGTCGGGCGCACGTCACCGGAAAGGTAGTTGTATTTTGCCTACGCCGCTGCCAGCGCAGCAATGTGTTCGACTTATATCTTCGCTGCATCAGTTGGCTACGTGAATATCGACTAGAGGTGCGATAGTGTTGAAAATCATTATTGAGTTCTGCGTTAATGGATTTTTAAATAGAGAAAACTGTAAAATATGCTTAGTTCATAGTTTGTTTGGGATGTATTTTGCTTGTGGCATTCCGAGACTAGCTATTTTCGCGTACCTTAGTGGCATTTATATTTTTACTGCATTATGTATGTAAATTTTTAAAATTTGCTCATCTAAATTATACGCCTTCTCGATGATTTACTTGTTCCACCCATCTACTCTTTGAGCTAGTTTGGAGCTTTTTTCCTTACCTCTCCCTTGATGCGAATCACCAGGACATCCACTCTATTAGATTTAAGGACGAAAGCACGGCGCCCTGATGACCTGGTAACTTCAGAAGGCTGAATAAAAACATCTCTGAGTGGGACTCATAACGAGCTATTCAGGCTCAGCCGTTCAGTCCGATGCGGTCGGCGCCGTCGCCCTGCAGTGCCGCCAGCAGGCTGGCCGGGACCGGCGCCGGCTCGTTGGGAGGTAATCAGAGCTGGCCGGCTCCGGAGTGGGACCACTTACCGGCCGGCCAGGCGTCCGCCGCTGCCGGCGTCGACCGGGACGAGACGCTCCGAGGCGCGGCTGCCCGAGGCCGGCCAGCGGCACCCTCCAGCCAATAGGATGGGGTGATCGAAAGACTGCGGGTCATCTCAGCCGCCCGCTGGCATTGCTTCCTCACCCGAGACGGAGCACCATTATGATGTGGACGTCAAGAGCGGCCTAGGGGCGCCTGTGGGTACTGGGAGACATCCAACGATCCGCAGGCCTTGACGTTAATAAGCACGGCTGCCTGTGGAGACATATCCCTCCTTTAAGTGGAGCAGCATTTTGATGCGGACCTTGAGGCAGACTAGGGACCTGCGAAGCACTGGATGTGATAAACGAACCAGAGAGTGCTAGGGAGCAGAGAGTGTATGCATAAAGAACGGCAGCAGACGCACATAGCTCCCGGGGGCACGTAGCCCTTCCCATGGAATAAATGCGTCGCACGTATTAATTTGACGTAATTACATAAACGTTGATGGCAAAAGCTTTAGGCAGACATGTAAAGGAGATCGAACGCGAGCAATGTTGTTTTACGACACACTAGAATCTATTTTATACGACACACTAGAAGTCGTTTGTGCCTGCGGCGCGCTAAGCTCGGTTTTCAGGTAATTTCTTTTTTAGCTTTTCCGGCATTTTGAAATGTTGTGTGTGCCCTTGAAAAGTATACATTATCTATGCACTAGGGCTGTGTAAAAGTGTGCTAGGTAGTTTGGTTTTACAAGAGCAGAAATTTTGCCAAGTTAGTTGCTTTTTAACAATGCTAACAATGGTAGACGACAACATTATAAATGCAAAGGCTTATGGCATAGTGATCAGATCATCACATAATCGTAGTGATCAAGGCCTTTCCTGGAATGTGACAGGCGGCAACTGTCGAGAATGATCTCATGTGTTTGGCTTCCTCAGGCAAGCGTCATGCCGCTCAGGCGTGTACGTGCCAGGGTAATGGTGCATTTAGATGCATGTATCTATGTAAATCTGTTTGACAGTGCAAAATATCTGCTTAATTTGCATTCGTAATATGCGATTATCCGCTTAAAACTCTTGCTAGAACGTGTCATCTCCATAGACTCCGAAATACATCTGCGGTGAGATAAGATCAGCGTTGTTGGATAGGTCTCTTTTTCATGTTCATATCATAATATTTGTGTAGCGTTTACATGTTTGCTGTACGCCTTGCCTATGACAGGCTTCACACACTGTTGATGGTTTCTGATGTCAATCAATGGACAACAAACAGGCTAACAAACTGCGGTCAAATCTAGAAGTTGCGCTTAACTTATGGCGAGGCCCAACTCATCATATGTCACTGATGACAAAAAGCCATTCCCTTGACCAAACTGAACAGTGACTTCAGCACCGGCCATAGATGAAGGGCCCTATCTGAGCAGATGCTCGACCCGAATCAGGGTCAGTAAGATCACACCGGGGGCTCCCCGCACAATGGGGCGCATGGGGCGTGGGAGGCGACGGAGGAGCGCGAAGCCCGGTCAGTATCGATTTAACCGCGACGGTGCCGTGAGGCCTGACGCCGTGCGGCGGGAGCAGCCCGTCCGGCGCCAGCACGCGGCCCGCCCCGCGTCGATAGCGATGATCTGCGGCCGCGGCGTCCGCGCCGGCCCACCTGGCGTTCCTACCCCGCCGCCGTCTGTCGGCCGGGCGCTGGAGGGACGGCGCCCGACACAGGTCTAATGCGGACACGGGGGCAGGCGGTCGAGAGGGGTGATAATGTGCCCCGAGCGGCGTACCTGTTAGCCGCGGGCCGCTTGGTCGTGACGGCCTAAAAGCTTCCCGGCCGTAAATCACGCCATTTACCAATAAGGCCCTGTGAAACTGACAGGGTCACGCGTTTATGGATTCACTGTCGCACCATATAGCGAAGGGGCTGCATTGTTGGTCGAGGGGCGTTGTGCTTTTAAGGCGTTCGTGCGTTGCCATATTGGTATGGTCTGTATGAATCCACCACTGTATGTCGAAATGTCCAATGGGAAACTTTTGTCTCGGCCCGGAAAGCCGCTAGTAATGACTTTGCGCGAGTTTTAGCTCACAAGTCTTGCTGGTCATAATTCGGGCTAGCACAGAGCTGCGGGAACTTCACTAGGGGAAGGGGGCAGTAGTTACAGAAGAGTTTGTTTTCGTGAACATTTATGAATTTTATTGTTATGAGGATTCTTTCGGTAGTTTTGAAAGAGATTTGGACCTCACCTCGGGAATGGGAAGTGACAATCATCAGGATTTTGAGGCCACGTGCTCTCTCCCCAGCTAAAAAGCGGCACCCATAAACTGGATACCAAGCGTGAACTGTCGTCTTCATTCAGAAAACGTTGAAAGAAGAACCCGCTGATAACATGCTCTGCCATCCTCAAAGTGATTGTACCGAGCAAATCCAACCTTTCCTCGAAACCTGTCGCTAAGCCGTCGTTTGCCGTTCAATCGTGGAAGCAATGGAAGCTCTGTTGCACCAATTGCGGGCAATAACATCGCATTGTGTGCTAAAAACCTACTCATCACGGGACGCACGGCATGCAGCGATCAGTGACTGTGGCATTGTCGTTCGAACCTGCCCTGCGCTGCCGTTCCGTGACGGCCCAGCATTTCGCCGTCGGGCCCTCGCGAAGCGTGCACGTCACACTGCCCACCATATGCGAAATTTAGTTGTTTGATGGACGCTGCCGTTTCGAGTGTGCCTAGACGTTGTGCTGTGGTTGGGCGACTGTAGAAAGGCTTTCAAGACTTAATCGTAAACAGGTTGTTAACAATGCCCTCAGTGCAAATTTGTGGCACTGTGGGGCCACCCACCGCTCCCAACAGCCATGAAGGGAACCCCCGATACGGCGCTACTCGTTGTTCCAGTACGGTTTCTCCGGGCGCATTCGCTGATATTACCCCCGATATTAATGGCAACCGTAGCAGATCTTAATATCCCTTCAAGCGCACTGGCAGTTCAATCCCTATTACCCCTGGTCTCCGCACCAAGTGCCCATTGCTGAGCAATGCCAGCCATGCTTTAGCCCAGGTGCAGAAGAGTGGCATACGCCTCCATTGACCAGCGGTGCCTGACCGTGTTTCCCTTCGCCAGCTGCGGAGAGCAGAGGAGTCGCTGAAGCAGCTGGAGTCCTGCGAGTGCCAGAGGTCGTGTCGCCACTCCAACAATACATTCCACGCGGATGGCACCAGATGGATGGACGGGTGCCGGGTCTGCGCGTGCATGGTGAGTCCAGCCGCGGATGTCCACCCCCACCCTCTGGGTGATGCTGCCACTGGACATGGCAAGTCCGGCCGCGGTCCTCTCTACCCTCTGGGGGATGCTGTCCCTGACATGGTGAGTCCGGCCGCGGTCCTCCCCACCCTCTGGATGATGCTGTCCCTGACATGGTGAATCCGGCCGCGGTCCTCTCTACCCTCTGGGTGATACTTCCCCTGACATGGTGAGCCCGGCCGCGGTCCTTTCTACCCTCTGGGTGATACTGCCCCTGACATGGTGAATCCGGCCGCGGTCCTCTCTACCTTCTGGGTGATGCTGTCCCTGACATGGTGAGTCCGGCCGCGGTCCTCTCTACCCTCTGGGTGATGCTGCCACTGAATGTGGTGAGTCCGGCCGCGGTCCTCTCTACCCTCTGGATGTCGCTGCCACTGACTCTGGTGATTGCCCCTGACCAGTTCGTTGTGGAATGTGGAACTGACTTTTGTTCTGGGAACCGTGTAAGCGGTCAAAATTTTTGCATCTCTGAACGTGATAAAAAGGAAGGTACGAAATCTTCTCCTTTCAAAGGCCAGAGTGAATTTGCTTGTGATCTACACAGCTTAAAAAACAAATCCTTTTGCTTTATTAACAAGACCCACTGATGGTCCGAAAGATGGCGTGGCAACTGGTGTGCGCATGCAAACACCAGGAACGCGACCTTTCACTGAAGCGGTGTTTATTTTGTTATTTGTCAAGCTGGTGAATGAGCTTGAAGCATAAATCATCTAACAGCAGCTCAGAAACATCTATGTAAGCTCCTGCCTCGTTCTCCTCGACCTATTCCTTTTTGTCCTCTCGCATTCTTCCCTACCTCAAATATTTGTCCGGACTATTTGACATCAGATGCCACCAAACGTTCATTGTAAACTCCCCTCGTTAGTTGCCTTAGGGACACCTAGGAAGGCTGTTATGTGCAGCAGCACCTAATGAGGTGAAAAACAGCGGGCAGTGACGAAGCGGAAGAAGTCTGCGCGACGACGCCGATATGACCGCGGAGGCTGCGCGGCGACGCCGATATGACCGCGGAGGCTGCGCGGCGACGGCGGTTTGACCTCGGCCGCCCTAGCAGCCGCCGCCTGGCAAACACGGCCGGCTTCTCGCCCGGGCTCAAATCGGGTCATTGCCTCGGTACTGTGCTAACGGCCGGCGTGATAGCGTATTGACTCGGCAGGCGGCGGCTCGCGCGAAAGTGGTGCAATCCGGCGCGCGCGCCGCCCGCCGCCCGCGTCACGTTTGTCTCCAATCGGACCACTTCCGTTCGGCAACAAGGACTGGCCAGTGGCGGCTGGGAGACCCAGGATTGGCGAGGATTGGGTGGCGGCGACTGGGAGAGCCCAGGATGAGGGCAAACGGGAACTGGCTGGCGGAGAGAGCCCAGGATGAAGGCAAAGAGAACTGGCTGGTGCAGAGAGACCAGGATCAAGCAAGCGAGACGGTGACGCCAGGCTGAGAGGACTAGAGTATCTTCTGAAACGGGCCTGAGATCGCTGGAAGGCTGAGGAGGACACAAAGAAGAAGATATTGTAATGACGTCTGCGCAAAGAATCCCGTCTTCGTGAGAAGGGAGGCCAACAGAACGACTTCGATAACCCTTACCTGAGCATGCGCTAGAACGACGAAAAGTCAAGAAGACTGATCGAACCGGGTAGGACGGCAGCGGACTGGCGGGTTTGAGAGTTATGGGTGACAACATCGTCGTGCCCAGAGTTCTGAAGACGTTGGTGATGGGATTAGAAGCCCTTGTGGGAGGCTCGTCGGGAGAAGCAGCCTTCCCGAGAAAGCATCGACCGCAGCGGGCCCGGCGTCGACGTTAGTGCGGTCCGGCTCTGCTTCCGGCCGAACTCCGCGGCTTCCTGCGGCCTTCAAGTGTTTTCGGCACGGAGTCTTCCAACCGAAACACCCGGAGGCGATCTGAGACAGTTCTGCAGGCAAAACAGCCCTCTGTTTGCGCTCAAAACCACGAGCAAGGTCGGACGGCTTCTATTCTCCGTCTGTCGTAGCACCGGACGTGATATTTCTTCTTCACGGCTCAGACAAAACACCGCACTCTCTCCGAAATTAGTTTGGATATTTCGTGGTAGACGGCGGTCCTGTTCGCGCCAGCCGCACTCAGCAGGCAGCCTGGGATGCCGCAGCGTTTTACGGAGCAGACGGGAGGCAAGGACCGGGCGGCAGTTCGTGCAGATGGTTGTCTCGTAATGTTGAGTAAGGGCTCAAATATGGGCATTATCATGTTGTTTCTCAGTGTTACAGATAAGTTCTTGACGTTATGAAACAATCGCCTAAATTGCATTCAATCTGTTTAATTTGTCATCGAGACTGAAACATTTCGTTGATGCCGCCAGCGAAACGTGCCGTTGACGTTTCTATAAACAGCTGGCGGGGAGTGTCTGGATTGAACGAGGCCGTCTGTCGAGCTGATTGGCTGGCCGTGAGCTAAGCCCCATATCCGGCCGGCTGGTGAGCACGCAACACCAATGACAGCCATCCCGGCGCCGCGCCCTCAAAGGTGACCCGCCGGTGACCCGCCCACCGGATGTCATCACCTATCGTTATGCCAACTGGTAGCGATCCGGGTGCGTGTGAGGACGCACCGTACAGCTGCGTCAGCTGCACGTGAAAGAGACTGCGACGCGTTTGCGGTTGGGTTAGGGATCTTGACCGCGCAGGCCGAGGACTTAAGCCGCCGAGAACACAGATCATGACTGCGGGCAACGTGAAACACGACCGTACGCAATACAACGGCCACGTATGCATCACGACGACGCGGATCGTGGATAGTGGCCATCGCAGTCGTGGTCCAATGTTGTTTGCCTTCGAACGTCACAATGGTGTTGATCGTCGGCTGAGCATTACCCCTGCCCTCATAGGCAGTGTGACCACCTATACCGTCTGTATCATCATATGCGAGATCCGGATCTCAAACCAAACTGGCCGGGTAAAGTGCGACCTTGTCCGGATCATAGCTAAGCTTCAACATGACGTTTTTAACTATGAGTGAAGAACATCTTTCCGAGAACGACACTTGGCAGCCGTTAGAAGATAATAGCAGTCTGAAAGTCTGTCTCAAACCAGGCATGCTTTCAGCGCTACGAGGTCGAGGTTGGCTTGACACTGGGCTGTCTATGTCTGCGGTGAAGTGATTCATGGCTGTATAGGGACCGATGGTGAACAGATTAGACTGTAACGCAAATTTACCATCTGCATCATTGGAGAACAATGGTTTGTCTTCATTGTTTGTCTCACGACCCCCGTCGTTTTGCTTTCATGGTTACTTCGTATTAAAAACCCCTAACTAAAATGCTGTTTGAGGTTAAAGGTATATTTAGATAGAAACGTTATCAGGTATTTTTTGATCTTACATAGCTGTTGCTGAACGTCCCGGATATCAATCTCGGAGACCATAGTCCAATGCCAGATCTATCATAACTAGGCGGGATGTCCAATCAGAACGAGGGACACCTGACAGTCTCATTCATCACCATTCCGACGACCCAGCCCCTTACCTCCGCGCCGAGTGACACGTGAGAGGGTGGCGGGGAGGGGGGGGGGAGGGATGTGCTGCCGCCAACACCGGACGGACGGCACGTGGACCGGCCGGCGCCAAGGCTGCCGTCCCAGCAGCCGGCTGGCCAGCCGCGCCGGCGCCACGTGACATCGGACCACCGGCGGGGGACAGACCGAAAGACTGGGGAGTCTGCCCACGGATGGCGCAGACTGCCCGCCACGGCACCGCAGCTGAGCCCCGCGGCGAGAAATGACTATCCGCCACAGCAGTGCAGCTGAGCCCCGTGGCGAGAAACGATTATCCGCCACAGCAGTGCAGCTGAGCCCCGCGGCGAGAAACGATTATCCGCCACAGCAGTGCAGCTGAGCCCCGTGGCGAGAAACGATTATCCGCCACAGCAGTGCAGCTGAGCCCCGCGGCGAGAAATGACTATCCGCCACAGCAGTGCAGCTGAGCCCCGTGGCGAGAAACGACTGCCGGCCATGGCCCTGCGATCTTTCATTACAGTGGGCCCTTCTTTTTCGTGCACGGTGTGCTGGGACAAGATACTTGCTTTAATTAACCCTTTTCGGACATCAAACCTCATCACACTCCACATACCTTTTTCATCATCAGACACGTCCCACGACATCGCATTCTGTTCATTTCTATTTCCAATGTGCAGTCACGTTTCTAATTTGGCGACATTTCGTTGCGGTCGCCGCCATAACTTGATCATTTCTTATTTAGAGACATGAAACGGCGCTTCAGTTCCCCATGACATTCTAATGTGATATAGCAGTATCTACTCATGTTCGCACCTTGTCATGTACGCACATAACTATATCTTGTCACGCATGCGCCGCATCATCTACGGCGCTACAAAGTGCATGCCCATCCCCCTCCAAGTCTCCCAACAATCTGTACTTTGGGAAGGTCGCATAGCCTATCTCTACACAACAGGCGTACACACAAAGCTCCATTCGTATAAGGGAGTACAGGCAGCGATCGATGCCGCGGTGTGGCGTCGCAGACCAGAATCGTCTTTGCACCTGCACCGCTTCTCCGGCGCCGGGGGTCGTTAGCGCGCCGTGGGGGGCGGCACGGCGAAGTGGCCGCCCTGGGCGCCGCCGGACCGCCGGCCGACATTCCAGGAGCTCGTGTCGAGCGCGGGTATGGCGCGACCGTCGCGTGACCGGTCGGCCTGCCCGCCGGCGTCCCGCCGCTTACGGGCCCCTCCGAGTCATTGCGAATTCTACCCGTGAGGGCGCTCGGTGACGGTGAAGTGGGGCGGGCGTGGCTGGTGGGCGCACTGTGTGTTGCGAAATCTGGTATTGATTTGGTTAATGCTGGGGCTGTACCCAGTCGTTCTGAATCACATTTAATCTGTACGTTTGATGCTCGCGAATGGTCAGTTGCTATTTACGACTTGTTTAGCTGTTCGACGCTCCATGTGTCGAAGGCTTAGTGCTTTTAAGCACGAGCTAGCTGCATGTGGCCGTCTTAGAAAACATGATTCCGAGAGCTACAGATCATCCAACAGCATTACTCCTTACCAGTCTGGGATCAGCGCGGTAAATACAGCAAAAATTAGCGGTGCATGTGGTACAAATAATTAGCATCTACTGAGACACGTGTACGGCATTCCTGCGATATCTACCTGCTGTGGCAGACAAGTAAAATATTTTACCGATTAGCCGATCCGAATAAACTGAATTGATTCATTAACTTGACTGTTAATATACTGCGTGTGTTTTGGCTTATCTTGTAATCCATTGCTACCATCCGCGCATATCCGTGTTTGCACCACACTAGCGACTGTCCTCATTTCAGTTACCTTAGACCAGTTGGATACCAGTACAATGTATCGATGAACTCGCTTAAAAACCGAACTGTCAAAAGTCTGTGGTCTGATATTAACCATGATGAACTGAACTGCGTGGACGCTGTCAGCGTCTGTGAGTAACCATCCGGGCATGTCGTCTGTCTGCAGAAAGGAGAGGTCAAGTGCCATCCGATGAAGTGTCCTGCCGTGAACTGCTCCAACCCGATCATCGAGAATGGCGAATGCTGTCCCAAATGCAAAGGTCAGTGTCGTGGACATGCGACCGCCATCCAGTGAGCGTCTCCTGATGTCCGGGGACCGCACACTCACCTGCTGCTGCTGCCAGTCTCCTGATGTCCGCAGATCCCACACTCACCTGCTGCTGTCAGTCTCCTGATGTCCGCAGACCGCACACTCACCTGCTGCTGCTGCCAGTCTCCTGATGTCCGCAGACCGCACACTCACCTGCTGCTGCTGTCAGTCTCCTGATGTCCGCAGATCCCACACTCACCTGCTGCTGTCAGTCTCCTGATGTCCGCAGACCGCACAATCACCTGCTGCTGCTGCCAGTCTCCTAATGTCCGCGGACTGCACAATCACCTCCTGCTGCTGCCAGTCTCCTGATGTCCGCGGACCTCATACTCACCTGCTGCTGCTGACAGTTTCCTGATGTCCGCAGACCGCACACTCACCTGCTGCTGCTGCCAGCCGCCTGCGGCCCGTACATGCATACCTACCTGAACTGTGCAGGAATGTCTATCTACTCGGGAAGCCGTCAGTCTTGTTACTGTGTTTTGCACCAACAGTGGACGACTTCAGGGTTCTGTTTGCGTTTCCATAATTGATGCATCGATAGTGGTTTCGTGTTGTTTGGCAGAACGTGAAAGCCGAGACGAAAACAGTCACCTGCGGTTCCCGAAGCTTGGCCGAATCGATTTTCGAATCTCTGAAATGCACATTTCGTTCGTGACGCCTTAATAAAAAGAAAACGTTGAAAAGTGGAGGACTGATAATTGGAAGGAATGTCCAATGCTCCATGGTAAATGTCTCCAAAGAAACGGCAAAATTCCTGAGGTGGAGGGATTGAGCCATTTGCTAAGCCAAGCTAAGCTAAGCTATGAGGACCAATGACACAACTCCGTTGGAGGTTCCGTTCAGTTATCATGCTGCATCTCGGCGCGTGCCTACTTATTTCCGCCACGTGGACACTCAAATTAACTTACGTTGCTATCAGAGGCTCGTTCCTGATTGCCTTATTAGACCAGGTATATGAGGGTTGAGCACAAAGAAACATATGTTGCAACGCTTGTTCCAAAAAAATAACGTTGTATGTGAGGGGCTTTGCGTTGGTCTGGTACTTTTGCAATGCCATCTTTCAGCGGAGCACCACGGAGCCCACAGCTCATGGACAGGACACGGGCGTAGGAGGAGTCCACAACGCCATATCTGTGACACATCGCTGGTTTTAGGGTGCCGGGGTCTAAACTGACAGTCGCCTGCAGCTCGAAACCTTGCGAGATATTCTAGATAGACTGCCTTGCTTGAAATTCGTACAGAAATATTTCAATGAGATTCTGAAGCACTGGAAGTTCATGTTATGAAAGCGATGTTTCGTAAGACGCGTTTTTGAATAATGGTTTGCGTTTATTCGAACTATAACGTCGTTGTCGCCAGAAATGGCGACATGAGGACGAGTATCGCCCCGCGCAATGCCTAGAAATGGATTTGAGGAAAAAGTTCATGTTATGGGAATGTTTAACTTTTAAACATGCCCTTCGGGCTGAGCGCGGACAGTACAAAAAAGAACTGTTTCTCCCATGATATCTCACGCAGGTTGTAGCGCCGGAAGCCGGAACATAGCCGTTGGGAAACCCCGAACGCAAGACCTGTAATAATCCCGCCCCAAATAGAGCGACATGTGCGTTGATGGTTATTTTGTCTGGCGCATTGTCAAATAATCCTTGACAAAACGTGACCACTCACCTGCGCGAAAAACAGCGTTCCATAACCACGGAAATAAACCACGATAAAACAGCCCCTTGCAACTAAAAATCGCTCAAAAACGTCAGTCGCAGAAGACTGGCTCTTTTGGCCTAGCTTTTTCATTCGAATAAGAGGGCACTGTTATCGCGTGGCCGTCGAAACCGCGAGAAATGTCGGCTGACGCTGTTCAGCAGTATACCTGAACCCCCGCTGGGTGGGTTGAAGGGTGACCCGAGTGTTCTCGGTCTTTACCGTACGTGGCCTACCTCTGCCGTCTGTGACCCGCCCTGACCTGACCTCTCGACCCTGAATGACCTCGCTCCGTCGTGCGTGACCCTACTCCACAGTTCCGCCGCATGCGACACGGCTGCACCACGTGTAAGTTGGCTCCATCACATGCGACCCCATTCCACCATGTGTAACCCCGCTCCACCTGCTTTGGCCCACCTCCACCACGTGTTACCCCGTTCTACCTCGTGTGACCCGGTTGCGCCGCTCGTGGCCCCGTTCCGTCGTGAGTGGCCGGTCGGTCAGGGCTCCGCGCCTCAGACTGGCGACGGCGGTGGCGGCGGCGGCGCCCACCCAACTTGGCAACGCGCACCGGCCGTCCGCCCGCCCGCCGGACCGTAAAACACAACGCACGATTGTCACGCCACCCCCCTCCCCCCCCCCGCCCGTCGCCAGAACCCGAGCACCACGTGGTCCGCCGGGCGCGGGTGGACTACGTACTCGCAGGTCACGGGTGCCCCTGGGGGTCAGCCTGCAACGCGACTCGTGGCAGCTGAGAATGAGGCGCGGTGCGCAGCGCGGAAGGAAGGGGGGGGGGGGGGGCGAATCGCAGCGAGGGTGTCGCGCCCGGCCCGCCGCGCCAGAGAGGGTCAAGGGTCGCTGACTGGAGCTCTGTTCGGACCGGACGGGATTGGTGCAGGGCTGCGGTGAGCTGGAGGGGGGGGGGGGGGGGGGGGCAGGGACGAGCGTCCCTTCCGGTATGACTCTGATGTTTATGTCATTTGGTGAGCTAGTGTCTTCTTTTTGGCTCAGCGTGCCTGTAGTGTTCTTTTCTTTGCGCAGAATTGTCTTTTAGGAGGCCATCGTTAGCTTAGCTTCGTGTTGTACAACCTAAGCCATGTTTAATATCTTCCATGCAAACATGGCTATTCCTCTCCCTCTTCACTTTCTTTCCTTCCCTTGTCTTTGTTTCTTCCTCTCTCTCTCCGGTTCCCATCTCTGTCAAACTTCACACCGCAGCCGAGGCAGGTCGGCGGTGCCGGTGGCGCCAGAATTCCGATTCCCGAATCCGATACTAGAACCCTGATGCCAGACTCCCAATGCCCGACTCCTGATTCCAGACGCCCGACGCCAGACTCCCGATGCCAGACTCCTGATTTCAGACGCCCGGTACTAGACGCCCGATGTCAGACTCCGGACGATAGAAATAGCACCACCGCCACGACCACCGCCATTCGCACAGCTCGCATATATATTTTTGTCAGCGATGAGCCCGAAAACGGTGTGAACTGAGCACCTGTGCCGATGTGTCGGGACGCTCTCTGCAACCATGAGCCTCGAGGTGTGAGTGTAGCGATTGAGGTGATCTCTACGGGTTATTTACGATAGGAATTAAAATGGCATTGTAGTGGATGGGATATAATGCTAAATGATCCAGTTGTGAATGCGGCAGCTCCTGGCTTTTCTATCATTTTCCAGCAAAAACTCGTAATCTACTGGCAGATGATTTGTGAGAGATAACACACTGCTTCAGTGAAAGAAACATATCATTATCCGTGCTGCATAGAAGCCAGATGCTCAGCAACTGAGAACATAATCGGAGCGAAACTGGCTTGGCATGAAAAGCGTATGGGTCACGCGGTGTCTGTCTGTTTTCCTCCGTAGAAACGACATTCCATGAAACCTAACGGCACTAGTGACGATAGCAAGTACACCTGAGCGTAACTGTGCACAAAAAGTGAATTGTGCCTCATCCGAAAGGATTTCACATGAATCTGGTGCAGCTGCCACCATGAAGAGCACTGGCTACTGCTGCTGCGATTCGCGACGTTTGCACACGTGATGGGCTGGTGACTTGAGTCATCAACTCTACTGGACGGCCTTGATATATGTTTCCATTTCTGAGATGGTACCCTATATTTTCATAGCAGTCAGCCGGGAAAATTCGGCGATCAACGCAGAAATAGGGCACTGGATGGAGGTCCATTTATCTCCCTTACTGACAAATGAGCCGAATCAGCGTTAGATGAGCGAGAAGGAAATATGAACTGTCAGATTCGTGGAAACACATGAATACCGTAGTAATGTACGTGTGCATGTCGCTTCATATCATTCCACCCTATCAGGGCCTAACAGCATATGTGTTTGCCGATTTACGTTTCAGGTATTTGTAGAATAATCTACAATAGATATGAAAATTGTATCTCGTTGTTAAATCAATATAGGGGAATGCCGCACCTACAGCTGAGACATTCCATGGTTAGGAATAATTTCAGGTATGTCTGGCAACCTTGATATTCGCGATGCATTGGTAGTCTGGTTCAATCAAACATTTGACGTGCTGAACCGGCACTGTAGCGAACTGTAGTCATAATATTGACTCGAGACTGCAAGCGAAATATGCAATATATTGGTTTTGGGGCTATCTGGGTGAACCAGAGAGAACCGGGTGAACATATCGTCTGTGTCGAACCCGACATACAATATTACTCTGGCTATAGTCTGTTCTAGACTGCTGGACTCAAGCGGTTCACAGCACGGGGCAGTCCGAAGGCAGGGCATCAGTCAGCGGGTCCAGTCCACCACCGAGTCAGTCCTCTGATGTTCTTAGCCGGCGGCCTCCCCACTCCAGACCCATACCAGACTCCAGGTCTTCACCAGACCCCAGACCCTCCCCTGACCCCAGGCCCTCACCAGACCCCAGACCCCAGACCCTCACCAGACTCCAGACCCTAGGCTCTCACCAGACCCCAGAACCCAGGCCCTCGCCAGACCCCAGACCCCAGGCCATCGCCAGACCCAGACTCTAGGCCCTCACCAGACCCTAGACCCCGAGGCCCTCACCAGACCCCAACCCTCGAAGTCCCTACCGTTTCCAACAGGAAACGCTCTCAACACTGCGCGAAGCGCCCTTCAGAACTCGCGCTGACTCCGCTCGCGCCGCCGCCGCCGCCGTTTTGGGTCGAGACGCTGAAGCGCCCGTCACGCGACCGCCCACGCAGGCGGAAATAGTCTTAGCCGGCCAGCCGCCGCCGCCCAAACGAAGCGGCGGTCGATGTTATCCGCCATATTGCGGGACGCATGCAACTAAGGCGTCGGCCGTGCTGCTGACTTATTCACGGAGACTGACGTGCCAGAGGGACTTGGGCGGAATGAATGCTGTACATTCCTCGCTTGCGCGCCATGCCATTTATGTAGAATGTCGTGCAGGCATTTCTCCACTCGGCACTGGTGGCGACGATTTCATTGAAGGAGTTCATTCACCCGCACATGAATCGGAATGCCTTACTATGCGTCAGCGTTGGCTTACAGCTGGCAGCCGGCGCAGGTGGTTTTCTCAATGAGGTCGTGTCTGGAAGCTAAGGACGCGAAGGAGCTGGTCGTGCTGAGGCTAACTTTGTGGAAATAAACGATCGAGTTGGTTTGATTAGCAGTGCGGGGATGAGAGGAGGTTAGGGGCAGAGGGGGGGGGGGGGCTGTTTGGCCTCGCCGTAGATGGTCATTGGGCTCATTTCCTTAGGGAATTCTCGGGCACGACACGACAGGTCGCCGCTCCTTTATGCCAACTCCCAAGTGGTGCCATGTCACCGGCTGGGTACTCAATAAGCGCAGCTGGGGAGAAGACGTCCGTTACTGGGCTGGCTCAGCGGGAGCACCGTCAGCACTGGACCACATAATCAGCTGGGAAACGGCGCCACCCTTCACGTGACCGCCAGCCACTTCTGACAAACCTCCTCCGCCAGGCGGACAAGCCTCTGGATCAGGGGTCACACGAGCAGTCTCAGAACCCATGACCGGGCCGCCACTGGATCAGGGGTCATGCGAGCAGCCTCAGAACCCATAACCTGGCCGCCACTGGATCAGGGGTCACACGAGCAGCCTCAGAACCCATAACCTGGCCGCCACTGGATCAGGGGTCACACGAGCAGCCTCAGAACCCATAACCTGGCCGCCACTGGATCAGGGATCATGCGAGCAGCCTCAGAACACATAACCTGGCCGCCACTGGATCAGGGGATCATGCGAGCAGTCTTAGGCCCCATGACCTGGCCGCCACCTGATCACTGTCTGTGACCCGACTGCTCTCTGTGACCTGACCGCTATCTGTGTCCTGACCACTGTCTGTGATGTGGCCGCTGCCTGTGACCTGACCGCTGTCTGACGTCTGTGTCCACCACAGGCGAGTGTTTCCTGAACCAGCGGTCGTACGAGCACGGCGAGAAGGTGTCGATCGACCGATGCATGACGTGCGAGTGCCACGACTCGGTGATGCAGTGCAGCACCATCATCCCGGAGCAGCACTGCCCGCCGCTCAGCTGTCCGCCTTCGCAGCGGCTCAACATGTCCGGAGAGTGCTGCCAGTTCTGCAAAGGTATCAGCCCGTCCGGGGATGTGTGGGAAGCCGTCTTTCGCAGAGAAAGCCAGAGGCTTTTGAATCCAGAATGATATAGTGTATGGACGTTGACGCGATGAATATTGGATTGGTGTGCAGTTTGCTTAAAGTGACGGTCCGGACCCAAAACTTAAATCGTCCCTCAGCCCCAAATGTGAAACTTGTTCAGTTCGTGGAGAGATCTGCTCTGCTGCTATGTTTAGGGTTATGTTTAGCAATATTGTAATGATACAGTGCATTGGCCCGTGATAAGCTATCGCCATGCCAGCTTCCGGCTTATGGGGACATCTCATGAACGACAATCCGACCCCACCCGACTTGATCTGACCTAACCTGACCTCTTCCGCAGACACGGACTACTGTGCGCAGGCGCAGCCGCAGTGTGACACGCACGCCACATGCGTTAACCTGCAGACCAGCTTCATGTGCCAGTGTAACGATGGCTACAAGGGAGACGGCAAGACATGCGAGGGTGAGTCGAAGCCGTCCACATCATTGTGCGACCCTCTTTGCTCTGTTTACTTGTCTCTATCTCGCTGTCGCTCTCTCTCTCTCTCTCTCTCTCTCTCTCTCTCTCTCTCTCTCTCTCTCCTCTCTCTCTCTCTCTCTCTCTCTCTCTCTCTCTCCCTCTCCCTCTCTCTCCCTCTCCCTCTCTCTCCCCTTCACCGTGCCTCCCCTTTTCAATTTTTGTGTCATTTTCACCACCTTTGGCCTACCTTCTCTACCTTCTTCCCCTCCTAGTTTCCTGAACCTGCCTGTCGCCGCCCTCTCTGTCTGTCCTTTCTCCGGGAAGCATCAGCAGACCCTTGTTACGACCACTCCGGCGCACAACACGCGCCCACTCCCCTCCCCACAGCTCTCCGGCCTGGAGCGGACAGACGAGTGGAGCGTACTCCCTCCCTGTCGTCCGCCTCCCCTCCCCGCGCCCGCGGCCGCGGTCGGGAGGCTGCAGACGCGCCGGCCGGGTCCCGGAGCTGTAATTTGCCGCCAGCGGGACGCCCACGCCGCCGTAATCAATGCGTTTCCATACGCGGTGTATTGTGATCCCATTAATCTCGGCGTGCGCCTGAGGACGCCGTCCGATACTGGTCCGCCCGCCCGCCCGACACGTCCGGTAATGTCATACCGGGCGGAGATAGCTCGGCCCCTCCGCCGCCGCCGCCGCCGCCGCCGCCGCCGCTGTCTCGGCGCCGGCGCCGGCACCAGGAAGCTGGGAGGAAACAGACCGAGTGGGGCTGGTTGGGCGTGTCGCCCGCGTGACGCCGCAGACGGGGTGGGCGCTCACAGGGTGGCGACGCTAAGTCGCAGCTGCCGTGGTCCGAACCAGCTTCTCAAGGGACGGCTATTCAGAGCGACTGGTCGGCGGCCGCTGGCGCTGCGCACGGAGAAATTTCCTCGAAACGGCTGCGAACAATTAGGCAGCTTCCGGCGCGCGGGCCGCCGGCGGATGCCACGCGGAAGATGCGCCCGGCTCCGGACGCGGGCGCGCCGGCTCCCTCCGGCGCCTCGCCCGACGGCCGATTTTCCGGGTCGCCGCCGCCGGCCGGGTTGTTTTGAAAGCGGCGCGAGATTTGAAGCGTGATGGACGAGCCGATCGCGCGTAGACCTTGAGAGCGAGCGCGGTAAATTAGGACATTGGCAGCGAACTTGGCGCGAAGTTGCCAGATGACGCTGGATCCAGCGGCTGGATCGAGATCCGGGGATCCGGAGGCGCCGATTTGCATAGGGATCGGTGGAGGGTGCTATCTGGGCGACGGGACCGCCGTCGGGCCTCCCAGAGATCGGCACGGGTCGGGCGCATTCCAGAAGCCGTCTGGGGTGGGGAAAGTCAGACTCGAGCAGCCAGTGGCTGCCAGATGCTAGGGCTTGGGATGAGTCTCGAGTTCCAGCGCACTGATGCCAGCCCCGCTCTGTTGTGGTTTCCAAGGGAGCGGGCAGTCGGATTCAGACAACCGCACAGGCCTCACACTCGACTGGTCTCTATCCCATTCGTTTTGAGGTACTTGGGCTGAACTCCGTCAGACACAGTTTCTGTCTTCCTCCTACCACGCCGCACCCAACCTGTACGCCTGTGGTTCCTCCAGCGTAGGCTTCCATCCGAAGCGCGGGCCGATCCACCGCAGCGCCCGCAGCTGCACCGCATTGCGGTGTGCAGCACACCGCACCTCGCGGGCAGGGCTGCCCTGCCGCGCAGCCGGAGTAGCACGCCATTCGGTCGGCCTCAGTTCGGCGAAGCGGGCCGGCTGACACCGGCTCACGTCTGCCTGCCATGGAGACCGCTCGGCGCTATTTCCAGCGCGCCCGGCCGGCCGCGGCTTCGGCGGGCCGGCGACGGCGGCGGCCGACACCACCGGGCCCGCGCGGCGGCCTCGTTTGATCGTGCGTCAGTCCGTGACGGCTTAATCACGGCGGCAGCGCGGGACCGTGACGGCGCGGGTCTGCTCCGCCGACGCGGCGCTTCTCAGCAAGCGTCTCCAAATTTACGGCCGTCGTAATCTGCGCCTGATGATTTACCATCTGCGAGCGCTCAGAGCGCGTGGGAAGCGTGCAGTTTATTTGAGCGTGAGCGCAGTTGCTTTCGCTCGGTTTCCTCCATTCTGTTCCAAGCGTGACATGATGAGTGTGTGTGTTAGTTGAGTACCTTTGCGTACTAATGTGCTAATAATGTGATGCATGTGAATATGCATGAAGAACTGCGTGTTACTATACTAATTCGCGTGTTTGAATATTGAACGGGCCCATTTCTGGTTTCAGACCTCGATGAATGCAAGAGTCGCGGTGGATTCCACGGTCACCAGTGTGGGCCGAACACAGTGTGCAGGAACACGGTGGGCTCCTACGAGTGCGACTGCTTACCAGGTGGGCGTTCAGTTCTTGCTGACCATCGCGCTCGGCGCATGCGCAATGCAAATAACGTGGGCGTCAAATGCTCACGTGCGAACGGTGATGTTTGTGTTGTTTGTAGTTGTTTTCGGGTGTGCCGACTGCAGTGATCATTTGGCGTCCCATAACGGTGGTGTTTTCCGACTCGTCAAGCCATCCTCGGGTGTTTTAAGATTACCTCCCGCTGTCGCCTGGCTTTCTGCCTGGAAGCATGGGTTTCTTTCTCACATACCGTATCACGTTCACTGGCTTTAACTCGGTGACTTCACGGGTATTCCCGGCAGGCTACGAGCGGCCTGGTGTCTACATGCGACCGTGCCTCGACATCTGTGACCCGCGCCCTTCGGCAGGGTACCAGCGACACGACGCCTACATGTGACCATGCCCTGACCCCTGTAACCCGCGTACTTCGGCAAGGTACCAGCGACACGACGCCTACATGTGACCATGCCCTGACCTCTGTGACCCGCGCCCTTCGGCAGGGTACCAGCGACACGACGCCTACATGTGCGTGGAGCGGAATGAGTGTCTGGACGAGTCGCACAACTGCGACGCGCTGGCCGACTGCGTCAATACCCCGGGCAGCTTCCGGTGCCAGTGTCCGGACGGCTACAGCGGCGACGGCACCACCTGCTCGCGTCAGTACTGTACATCCCCGGGCCCACTCTTCACACTGCCCTGTCCACTCCGCGTCAGCTGGCGGCGTTATTCTGTTGTTCCGCTGTTCCGTTACCCAGCTGGCGTTGTTCCGTTCTTTTTTTATTCCGACGAGCTGCGGATAACGTCCCCACAACTACGCTTTAGCCCACGCCACTGAGCTATCTCCCTGATTTAAATATCGGGTCGATTCGTCTTCTTTTCGAAGCTTGTTTGCTGGCCCATGAGAGGAAACCGTGTTTTGAATGTCGTCATGTTCCACCGGCTGTTCGTTGCGCTATGGTATGGCGCAGTATGGCGTTCAGTACTGCCCGACAGTCACCGTGATCTGGCCTAGAGCGTTTCATGACCTCCCGTAGCCTGCAGAGCCTCCTGTGACTGCCAGGATCCCCTCCGACTTGTCATGAACTCTCCTGATCTTCCACGATCCTAAATCAATTCGCGCAATCTTCCGTGACATTCCATGACCCTTGTGACCGCCTACGCCCGCTGTGACCTCTTCGCCCTGCCTTCGCCCACTGCGGTCCACCGCGGCCTCCTCCACTCGCCCGTGACCTGCCGACCCGTGCCCCGCGCCCCGTGACCTGCCGTGACCGGTGTTCGCCCCGGCAGCCGTGTGCGGCCAGCCGTGCGAGAACGGCGGCCGGTGCGTGGCGCCCGACCACTGTTCGTGTCGGCGCGGCTTCGGCGGACCGAGCTGCGAGCTGGACATCGACGAGTGCAAGCTGGGTCTGCACCAGTGTCACCCGCACTCCGAGTGCGTCAACAAGCCCGGCTGGTACCACTGCCGCTGCCGGGACGGCTACCGCGCCGACCCCGTCCAGAACACGCTCGGCGTCACTTGCACAGGTCAGGAAGGTTCACGGGGCAGGGAGGACGGTTACCGCGCCGACCCCGTCCAGAACACACTCGGCGTCACTTGCACAGGTCAGAAAGGTTCACGCCGCAGGGCAAGTGTGTCAGGGGTGTAGGTCAGCGGTGTCAGGATGAAGGTCAGAGGGTGTCACAGTACCGGTCAGGAGTGCTCGGGATGCAGATCAGGTTGTTCGAGAGCGGGGCAGGAGTGTGAGCCAGGCCGCCTGAGACACGCGGCAGGGGTGTTTGGGTTGAAGGTCCCAGGTGGCAGTGTGCTGATCGAGGTGGCAAAGCTACTAGGTCTCCCGGTCGGCAGGTTTCAGCGGGCCCAGGCCGAACGATCTCATGGTGCAGGTCACAGCTGTTTGCGATGCGAGTCCGGAGCGCCACGTTAAAATGATCTCAACAGCCAAAGCGCCGCTAAAAATCAAAATAGGGCTGTGACTACCGGTGGTCGGATGAGAACAGTTGTATGTAAAAAGCAGTCGACCTCGCGCTATGGCTGTCGGTGGACGTTATCGCATCATATCCGTGGTACCAAGGAATACGTGCGACACAGAACTCGGACAAGGGCACCCAGCTGGCGGGATGACCGTTTAATGAAGTACATATGTCGGAAAACCGTTGACGTATAAAAGTCGATGACCTGCCAAGAGGACTGTCATCCTGTTGGTCACCATCAACTGAGCCTCTCACATTCGGTCTGCTTGGTCTGTTTATATACTCATAATGAGCGTAGACCTCTGCCAGCGAACACAGCTCCAGCCACCATATCATGCCGTCAAAGCAGAACATTAGGCGTCATGGTAAACAATCAGCTCGTTAGTGGCATGTTCCGTAATATTGTGCGCTGTAGGTTGCCTTGATTTGGAGGTGCGGTAACAAGCGAATCAGTAGCCAAGAGCTCAATATTGACCGTGTCATCATGAGGCCCTGCTGAAGTCTTCCAAGAATTAGACACAGCCCGGGGCCCATCATAATAAAAAGCTGCCGCACTGGAGCAGGGATAACCCCGTCTCTCACCGGCGTCCTCGCTCTCCCCCAGACGTGGACGAGTGCAGCGAGGGCTCACACACGTGCGACCCGCGCGCGACGTGCATCAACACCAACGGCAGCTACACGTGCGAGTGCGTCGGCTCGCAGTGCACCAGCAGTGAGTATCGCCGCTTTCCTACAGAGCGTTTGGTGCTCTGGGTACCGCCGCGAGCCCGCGGCCCCGGAGATATGTCCAGTTCGACCGTGAATCTCAGCATTTATATGTTCAGTTCTTCCACCATTATTTTTAGAACGTGGCTTACCGAGGAATAACGCCCGGCGAAAAATTGTTGGGGACGTAAATGAACAAACTTTTGCGGAACACCGTTCATTCCTCTTTTGTTATCCATTTTAGTATGAGCTTTTAGTATGCTCTAGCCCAACGCACGCGTCGCAACGCAGGTGTCGTTTTGAAACCACGTCCGAGCGGCTGAACCAACGCCAAAACATGTCTATATCATCTGTCATGATGTTGCCAGAGATGAAGGTGTCTGGTTGGTGAACCTTTCGCGAGAGGGTCAAAGTTCAGCTGTGCTGTGGCAGAGGCTGTGCTGGCGTGTAGCCGACCTGTCGGTAGCGCCTGGTGGCCGCTCCACAAACCCTCCTTTGTCGCCTGCCGCCGACCCTCGCTCAAGCTCCCCCATGCTCACAGCCCTCCGTAGCCACTGATCCTGAAATACACAGCTCGGCTGTCAGCGGCGATATTCTATTTAGCGGACGGTACTGGATTCTGTGGCGCCTCGCGTGCGCCCGTAATCCCCTATCGTCCACGCACCCAATAAAAACTGCTGCCCCTCAAGTGCCTGCTGAATGATCCAGGCTTGGCAAAAAACAGCTGGTCTCTGGGGAGCGATCTGCCGGGCTTTTATGGGTGTTGATATTCTGTGGAAGGGGACTGTTCGGGGGAAGCCTTGGCGGGAACAAAGAGTCCAATTAGTGGTGCTGGGCATTGCGGGAGGTTATTGAATTCTGACTTATATACCCGAGCCGAATGTCAGCGTATGAGGATGGGCATGTCTTGTGGTCCAGTGACCTGCCTTTGGTGAGGCAGGTCAGCGCATCGGTCAGACTGGCTCCAGTTCGGACGATGTATGGGCTAACTATGCTGCCTGGCCAGAACTGGACAAACCACGCCTGAAAATGGCCTGTTTAAACGCCATCAGTCGTCACGCGTGTGAAGGACCCTAACATGACCTTACAGACCTAAAATATACAAGGGCAACGGATGCATAAATCTTTCGATGCTACGAAGGTGATCTGCTGTGCTTTATCGCTGCACATGAGTACACTTCAATGGAACATTGATAGCACGGCATCACCACGTGGACGCGTGGAAGTGTGTGGTAATCTAGCATTAACTGGTTGCAGAATTTTCATGTGAGCCATGTGATATCAAGTGTGCGCCAGCGTCCACGGTTTTGCACTGTGTCAAATGTGAACGGCCCAGCCGGCGATCTGCTAAACCTGAGGTCGCGCCGATGTGACGGAAGCCCTAAAACAGACTGGCGGCGTGTGGCCAGGAAAGGCGGCCTTTGTCTGACCTGCCTCCTTTCCGCTCGTGCAAAGAGCCGGCGATCCACCACCTCAACAACAAGTGCATGGCCCTGTTTGTGCATTAATTAGTGATGCTCCATTCGTACCAACGTCGAATGCTAATGGTAAATTCCGAGCGCTGGACAACACCGGCTAGTTGGGTAACAGCCGTCTGCACTTTAATCCCCGCGGTGACCCCGTGCCTGACCTCTGTGACCCGTGCGACCCGACCCGCCAGACTGCACCGTTGACGACGTGGTCCACCAGCACGGCTCCAGCTGGGCGGACGGCGACCGCGCGTGCCACACGTGCCAGTGCCTGGACGGCGTGACCACGTGCCAGCCGCGCACGTGCGACTGCTCGCAGCCGGAGGTGGACGGCGCGTGCTGTCCTCAGTGAGTGGCGATATGGCAGTGCCCTCTGTCATCACAATTGCTTATGGAGGTGGCCGGGAAACATGCACATCGTATGATGCATTTCATAGTGAATGCACATACGACTCGTATGCTTCATGGTCCATGATTAGTTTCTTGAAAATTTTCTCAGAACTTTTCATTGCATGAATTTCCTGGGAAGAGCCTGCACTGAGCAGTGCATCTTGCGTGAGGTCTGAACCAACCACCGATGGTGAATATCCAGGTTAACGGCATAATTCTGCGGCGAAAGTTTAACGCGCCGTGATGCACAGCTTGATCCGTCCCACTCCCTGACGTCAACCGACCTTTCAAAGCTTCTCGAACCTACCACGCCACGGGTGGGCGAATCCGAGAACAAGCAATCCAATCACCTGAGCTGCTGGGACGGCCCATTCCTGGTTAATGCTACCGTGTTTATGTAAACTTACTGCGAGCTTCGAAGGACTACGGCTTTGGTCATGTGTTTCATCCACAGAAACCCGTAGTCCCATCGTATTATCGTTTTCCCAGCACTTTTGCCGCAAAACATCCTCGAAGCCTAATACAACTTTCAAGACCATGAATGTGCCTTAAGCCAAGCTGTCATGGCGACCGCTCAACTTGCGATACCGTCTGTGACAGGTAATGGTGTTCAGAAAGCGCCCCCTGCCCAGTCGTGCTAACCCGTCTGTGACCTATCCCCTGTGCCTGCTGCAGGTGCGATTCCAGCTCGGGCTGTTTCCACCAGACGCGACCAAACGTTCGGTTCCGGAACGGTGACCGCTGGCTGCACCAGTGTCAGCTCTGCGAGTGTCTGGTGAGTGACCGCCGGCTGCAGCGGTGCCGCGTGTGTGAGCGCCGGCGCGCCGCCGCTCGGGCCGCCGCTCAGCTCCCACCCGTCATTGACACCGCTCCGATCGACCGCGGGCCGAGATCTGCGGCCATGTTTGCTCATATCTCCACTCATCTTTACCATCACCAAACACTTCTCGCACCACGCCGTTCTGTTTGCCTCACACTCTCACGTCGCCGCGTGACGGGCCATGGGCGGTCGTCCTCGCCCTGCGGCCCGCCTCGTCGCCGCCGGCTGCAGTACACGTCTGGTCTCGGTGCTCTGTCGTGCCGGCCCGGTCCGCCCGCCTCAGCCGGTCGGTGCCGATCAGCGGGGCTGTCAGTCCCGCACCGGCCGACCGTGCGCCGGCTACCGTGGTCTGAGACGGCGTCACGGCATGGCGCGGCGGGCCTCGCCGTGCGCGGCGGCACGGACGGTCGCGTCAGCCATCGACCTCAGCCTGTGACTTAGAGACTCCGTTTGTGGCTCGGCTAGAGCGTCGGTTTGCTTCTGCGGCACGCTGTCCGCCGCGGATTGCCCCCGCTGTCCGCCGCGGATCGCCCCCGCTGCCCGCCGCGGATCGCCCCCGCTGCCCGCCGCGGATCGCCCCCGCTGCCCGCCGCGGATCGTCCTCGCTGTTTGCCTTGGATCGCCCAACCATTCGCTCCCACTGCCCGCCGCGGATCTCACTGCCGTTTGCACCCATTGCCCGCCGCGGACCGCCGTGCCGTTTGTCCCCGCTGCCCGCTGACGCAGGCGGCTGCCGTTCGTCAGATGGGCCAGATCGACTGCTGGCAGCAGCAGTGTCCGCCGACCTCGTGCAGCAACCCGCGCTGGCCGGACGGCGACTGCTGTCCGCGCTGCGAGGACGACCCATGCGCGGCGCCGGCCAACCGCTCGCAGGTGGCGCCGTGCAACATCGCGGCGCCGCCGCAGGCGCTCGCCAGCGCCGCCCACTGGCAGACGCTGCAGGCCAACTGTCCCGACTGCCGGTGTAAGGTGAGAGCGGCCCCAGCCAGGTGAGAAAGCGCCCCGGCGCGTGACACTGCAGGTGAGTGCCCCCCTCCCCGACCGGAGAAACGCGACGAGAGCCCGCACAAGCCAACCAGCTGTGTCGGCAGCCTGCGTGCTGATATGTGGGTGCGTGTGGTACATTTTTGCCGATTTTTCGTCAACTGATTTTTCGTGAAAGGCCAACAAAACAAGCCGCATTTGATTTGTGTTGTTTTGTATCCCCATTCGGCTGGTCGCCTCTTACCCAAGAAGCTAACGTGGACACCCAGCGTGACTAAGGACTGGACCAGGGACCAGCTCAGCCGTTTTAATTAACTACTAATAACCCTAGATTTAATAACTGCATCTGTTTTTGCTGTATTGTCTGTGACTGTCACACCACGGGGAGTTGTCTCCACGGGGCCACCGACTAACGCTTGTCTGATTGCAGGTGCCGTTTTGTGAGAAGTTGGTGAGCAAAAATTCCGCGTGTGTGCCTCGGTAATTTCACCTACTCACTCTCTGCTGCCTGAAACCACGCTTATCACGGTCTAGTGCCATACGTTTGCACGTTAACTCGCACTGCGCGCTCAGTTTGTGATTTTTGTTGATCAAATCTGCATCCTTCGACGGTGGTTGTTCGCCGTAGTACCTGCCTGTCACCATACCAGTTTATGTAAATACCAGTGATGCTATTTTTGAGCTATCTCACTCGCTTGTACATCGATCTCGGTGTCGTCATCACCGTTATCTAGCTCCGAACGTGTTGTATGTAACATCGGGCGCTATGTCGCAGTCCAGCGATCACTTCCGAACCCGGTGCGATATTCTGACGGCTGTTTTTCACCGGCAGGACGGCCAGCTGTGGTGCGGTTATTCTGGCTTCTGTCTCTGTGCTGATCATCCAGCGGCTGCTGGTCTCCAGCTGCACACCGCCGGCGAGCAACGGCGCCTCCAGCGGAGCCGAGGCCGCCGGGCGCAGCGCCGCGCCGCACGGGCGGGCCACGCAGAGGGCAGCACCAGCGCGCCGCCAGACGGCGGCACCGCCGGGGGGCCGGCGGCCGCCGCGGGACGGTCCAGTGACAGTGTGCCGGCGCGGAACGCCAGTGCGCGAGGGCGGAGTGCGCCGGCGCGCAGTGCGGTGGACGTGGCGGGCGACGCGCCCTCTAGGACGTAGGCGGCGCCAGCGGGGCGTGGGCCGCCCGCCCGCAGGCCCACAGTGAACGTTATCGAGCATGTGCTAGTCAATGTGAAACTTACCAGGATAGATCAACTGTCAGCAGCAGCCAGGGCTCGAGGATTCCCAACATAATCTGCGATGTTCACTAGTCGTTCTGCCGCGAGCAGCTCGGTGTTTTTGTTTATCGTCTCCGCCGCTCCCTGTATCCGGTGGAGCACGCCACCCCCGGGCCAGAGCGGCCGCCACCTGGCAGGCCACCGGGCACGAGCCCCTCTGCACGTCGCTCCCTCATACCTGGACGAGGAGACAGTGCATGGGGAGCCACCTCGGCCGCCGCGCGCCCGCTGACGCCGTCAGAGCAGTGCGTCCCTCGGCGCCTCGGGGCGGCGGCTCTGGCCCGGCAGGCGCGCTCCCCGCCCGGTTCGTGAGCCACCGTGACCCACTCTAGCGAGCTGTCATATCAGTCCCGCCGCGCTCGGCCCGCCCGCCTTCGGTGTGCCCGTGTACTGCCGTTCAAAGTGTTCTAGTCGCCGCCCCGCGCGTGCCGCGTTAGTCGGGCCGCGCCGGCCCGCCGCGGCCAGCCCGTGCTGTTGTAACGGAGGTCGGTTTGTGATGCGTCAGGCGTGGTGCCGCGGGAGCGACGTGCGAGCGAGCGAGCGCGAGGCGTCCCTGGCGACGCCGCCGTGACCGGGACGTGCCGGCGGCATTTAGCGGCTGTTGTTATTTGAGTTGGTGTAGCTCAGGGTCCAGAACGTGCCCTGCACCCCGGGGCATCTGATGTGTGTGACGGGCCGGCGAAGTCGTCGGCGGGACGACATCGGCCAATCACAGTGTATTGGTGTTGTGCAGAAATCGGTACCTTCAGATGGGACGCGGCCGGCATTGACGGACTATTTCGATCCGACCGCAATCGTAATGGTGATGACGGTCTGGCTTTACAGCGCGGTGTCGTGCCACCGCTTCGCTATCCTACCGGCAAAGGCGCAAGCGTCAAACTTCTCCGGAGTCGGATTCTGCAGTCCAGTTCCCAAACCCATCTCAATGATGGGTCGATTACCATGCACTGCCCCGAGCGGTCACGCTCTCCCCTGGCTACCGACCCATCTCGGAGACAGCCAGCAGATAGGCAGCACAAACGCTGAAATCACGCCGGCTTATTGATTCTGAATGTTTTTACATGACTTAGAGGGCATTTCGAGGTCATAATAAGCCACCAAAACGTTCATATCCGCGAAACTCTAAAGCAAATTTAAAGCACAACTCAAATCACATGACCGTCAATTCGATAGGCATCAGCAGCAGCATCGCTTTGCGAAGTTGCAACAATTGTCGAGTCACCAAAAATTTCGCCCGCACTAGTACCAAAGTGGGGCCGAACGCCTGGGTGAGCTGTGAAGGTTTGTGACCCGTGCTAGTGGCGCCCGTCGACTGCTGTCCCTTCAGGCGCTTCTCCGCCGCCCCGCCCGGGCCCGCCTGCCGCCAGGTGGGCTCGAGGGCGTGGCCGTCCCGCAGGGGACCACGCCCCGTGGACAGCTTGTCCCGCGCGGCCGGCCCGCCCTCGCCCAGCCCAGCCTGACCCGCCCCGACCCACACCGGGCGCCAACTGTGAATACGTCTGTTGGTTTTACGACGCTACGACATGTTTGTATAAACCTGAATATACGATACACTCGTCCCGGGCGGTTTGGTAGAGCTGGGGCGCTTCTGCAGGGTGGAGGCATGACTCTCCAATGCTATTCATTTCGTGCACTTCAGAACATCCAGGCAGAAAAACACACAAACATTATCTGCATTGCTACAACCTCAGCGTTCACATACTTCAAACAACACACAACTCATTAAATGATGACGTGAATTCTTAAACAGGACAATTTTCGGAGCGCTTGCAACAGAACCAATAACAGCTACACTTCAAGTGACGATGAAAAGACAAAAAACGATATGACGACGACAATCGAGCGCCGGCAGCAGCAAAGGAAAACAAGTATGCTTCAACCATGGTGGAAGGACTAGAACAGAATAACTGACAATCAGTCAAGACAGTATGCCTGACCGAGGTCGTACACCCTGGATTCGAGACTGGACTCAATCAAAGAGAAGAGACGAACACCCTGATCTAGTTTCCAGAGACACCCTGGTCGTCCAGTCCGCCAGGCTTCGCCTCGTGGCTGTTCACAGATCTGCCCACTCGTCGATGAAGTCCTCCAGACGGCGCTGGAACTCCCGCATCCTTTCGTCGTTCTGCAAAGGATGCAGGCGACGCCTATTCAGCAAACCGCGACACACTACACGACGCGATCCAACTGACTCTCGGCGACGATTTCGGCAACGCTGCGCGGCCCACGCGAGCAGCCGCCGCGGTCTCTGGCGCTGGCTTACCTGCCTACCCAGGTTGGCGTCCAGATCCGCCTCACGCACGTGCGGCGTGTGGCCGACGTCCAGCGGCGAGTACCCGAAGCACGCCACCAGCGACTCCTCGTACAGCAGGACCGCCATGGTGACGTCATCCACGGTGACGTCACGCCGCAGAGACAGCTGCGCGAAGGCGTGCGCCAACCCCGTGCTGTGGAGACGCAAGCCAGGTGAGAACAGGGCAGCTGCACTGCCTCCAGGAGAGCAAACTGTGGCCCGCCGAAGTGGACCGTCCAACCCGTCGAAATAACGTCTCAGCACAGACCGCTGTAGACCCCGTTGTCTTGAATTGACGAGCGCGCGGCAGCTTGTCTGTCCTCACACAGGCCCCAGGTGAGCATGGCCGGTCGCTGTCGGTGCTCACATGGTGTTGACAGCTGCCACAGGCACGTCCGGCACGTTTGAGGTGCGCACGCGCCGGCTGGCCACGAAGTAGCGGCGCACCAGCTGCTCGGCGTCCGGCTCCATGTCCAGCGACTGCTCGCAGGCGGCGCTCAGGAACTGACGGCACGCGGCGGCGGCGCTCAAAAGCAGCCGGCACGCGACACGAGCGCCGCTCGGACGCCGGCGTCACACGAGAGCGTTCAGAAGCCGTCCACACATGCCCGAGACTGCACTTAACAACTGACGATACACGGTGTGAGACGCGCTCTAAACATTCCGCACGGACGGTGGAGAATGACGCTCAGAAGTTGAGGATACTTGATAGGGTTGAGGCTAGAAACTGGCGACAAGCGGCGAAGAAAATGTGAGAAAAAAGGAACTGAGTGCAAGGGGGAGATAGCAGATGTTATAGGTGAGAAAGGAAAGAGAGCTCCCCGTCCCTTTCACTCAACGTCACGGTGCGTCAGGAATGACGCCGATAAACGTGAAATCTTACACACAGCCGATGCCCTGTACCCAGAGCACAAAACTGCCTCAGCACTCCCGGCTGCACTGAGTGGGCACTTCGAATATGATCTGGCACTGAAAATTACGAACCGTCACATCACTGACTTCAATCGAGTTTAGAATCGTTATCTAAAATTTCAAAACTGCTGAGAGCTGAGCCCGTCTGTGGAGGACCACCTGCGATGCAACCATACCGGTGAAATATTTTGGTTGCAGTCTTGAGCTGGCAAACCGCTTATCAAAGGGCAGCGGTCGGAGCGTCGGAGCCTGTCTGATCCCCCTCTCAGGAGACCTCGGTGACACCGCCGTTCATGTCAGGAGGTCCTGATCGGGGATTACGTCCCACTGCAAGGTTCTGATCCGGAATCAGGTCCTGGTACCTAACCGACCGCAGGTTCCGGTGTGGATAAGGTCCTTGACTCCCACTGTCTGGAGGTCCTGGTATGGAATGATGTTCTGGTCTGTGATCAGGTTCTCGTGCCGCAGTCGGGAGATCCTGACCTGGCCTCTCACCACCACGAGGTCCTCACCGTCATGAGGTCCTGGTCCGGTATCAGGTCCGGGTCGGCCTGGCTGCCCCGAGCCAGCAGCAGCAGCTGACAGGTGGTGAGGTCACACGCGAGGTCATCGCGCTCGTCTGCCGACTCGGTCAGGTACACCATCCCGAACGACCTGCCCGCAACCAACGCCCAGCATTGACGTAACGCAACCCACTGGAGTTCAGGAAACGTAGCCGTATGGATGTCGTCCGGGGACAACGCAGCCGAGAACAATGGCGCTGCATCAGACGCGTCCGCGACAGTCTGCACAAGCGTAAGCTGGCGCTGCGTGGCGTTGCGCGTTGCGTAAGACAAACAGCTCCGCATCGTCCTTGAAGAGCAAACAGCTTTAAATTTAAACAAACAATATCATGTGGGCCGACGAGCGATTTACATTGCCGGCCGGTACTGATCCGGCAATGCCATCGTGTAGACACGGTCGCGTACGCCGCGCGCGAATAAATGCATTTTCAATTAGGTGCCGTAACTTAGCAATTCGTCACTCAGGCCGGCCCTCCAGTATTTAGAAAGGCGCTGTCGAGGTGGACCAAATCAGATGGATTCCATCATCAGACAAGTGTGTTGCACTGGCAGATGCTAGCCTCATACCAGCGATACCGACCGCAGACAGTTGCACTCTTCGCGCGACAGTAAGTATGTTCACCGAGCCGCCGTATTCTGGCCATCACCATTCGGTATGGTCAGCCGCAGGTAGTTATGAGCACTCAAGTGGCGATTTGAAGAAAAAAGGTGAGGTCGGCCGATGAGCGATTTACATCGCCGTCCAATAGTGATTACACTATGACATCGTTTGCACATAGTGGCACCCGAACTTCACCAATCAAATTAGCTCAACTTGGACGTAGTAGGCTTCCAAACCTCGATGCAGAAGACAGCAAATATAGCGGACCTATCGAATAAACAAAGCCGCACTCTTCGCGCGCAATTATGAGTTGTTTTTTTCTCCAGGGTCGCCGTACTTTTGCAATACCGCTCAGGAAAGGCAAAACGCACTTCGCAGTTAGCAGTCATGGGGTGGCTTTAAAAAGGTCCTGTCGGCCGGTGGCCGATTTACATTGCCGGCCGACAGTGCCTCCATATTAACATTGTGCACACGGTGGCACCTGCCTCGCCCGGATACGCAACTTTTTACATCGTCGCTGCTGCCATCCCGTCAGCACTGAGTGAGACACCGTCGAGGGCCGACCAAATTGAATGGATTCCCTAATCGGAAACTGTATTGTAAGGGTACCTGAAAGCCACGCAGCAGCCGTATAGAATGCACACAGTCTCGCTCCGCGCACGCGTCCGTAAACATTTTTCCGGGCTTCCGTTTTCTGGCCATGACGATACGGACAGCAATATTGCTGTGCTCTTCACGGCACAACTGTTACCTGCAAAGTAACTGACCAATGGCCCACGTGTACACTGTTGGGCCACAACTGGCGATAACCAGCATTGTTTTGGCCCTAGGCCCGAGGCCGTGCAGGGCGCGGGTCCGTACTCACTCCGGCGAGCGTTCGCGGCAGCAGGTCAGCCTGTGCGGCCACCATACCCGTGTGGCCCACGAGGCTGATCCAGGTCGAGTCGGCCGGACGGCAGTCGGTCAAACACGGCCACGGATTGAACAGCAGCGGCAGGAATGGGGTTTCTAAGACGGCCCGAGGGGAGAGAGAGCGCCGGAACACACCACACTGACACGGTCCCCAGCTCCAGACCTGGACGGCACACACCACAATGACGGTCCCCAGCTCCAGACCTGCCGGAACACCACCACACTGACGGTCCCCAGCTCCAGACCTGGCGGTACACACCACACTGACGGTCCCCAGCCCAGACCTGGCGGTACCACCACACTGACGGTCCCCAGCTCCAGACCTGCCGGAACACACCACACTGACGGTCCCCAGCTCCAGACCGACGGCACACACCACACTGACGGTCCCCAGCCCAGACCTGGCGGCACACACACCACACTGACGGTCCCCAGCTCCAGACCTGGGGTACACACCACACTGACGGTCCCCAGCCCCAGACCTGGCGGTACACACCACACTGACGGTCCCCAGCTCCAGACCTGCCGGAACACACCACACTGACGGTCCCCAGCTCCAGACCTGACGGCACACACCACACTGACGGTCCCCAGCCCCAGACCTGGCGGCACACACCACACTGACGGTCCCCAGCTCCAGACCTGGCGGTACACACCACACTGACGGTCCCCAGCCCCAGACCTGGCGGTACACACCACTGACGGTCCCCAGCTCCAGACCTGGCGGTACCAACCACACTGACGGTCCCCAGTTCCAGACTTGGCGGCACACACCACACTGACGGTCCCCAGCTCCAGACCTGGTGGAGCACACCACACTGACGGTCCCCAGCTCAAGACCTGCCGGGACACACAACACTCGCTGCCGGTGCCGGTTATATGCTTCGTCCGCTGCTCACCCTTTTGCAGGGTCTGCACCGCTTCGCGCCGGTACTTGCTCAGGTCCCCCAGCAGGCAGACGCCGCCGCGCGCGCCAGCGGCAGTGAGCCCGCCTCCAGCTCGGCGGCGCCGGCGGCGCCGGTGGCGCGGCTCGCCCGACCCGCCAGCGCGCCCGGACACGCGTGGCGCACATAGCGCCGTGCGAACGTGGCGCCGTGCGCTAAAAGCCGGCAGAGGGCACCCACGTCCGGGCCGACGGCCAGCAGCGGCAGCAGCCGGCCGTGCTACCGGTGAGCGTCAGGTCAGCTCAGGTCAGGTCAGCTCAGCACCCAGGAACGGAAAGGATGGCAAAAATGCAGAGCCGTCAGACGGCAGCGCGCGGGAGGAAGTCAGTGAAAGGGCAGGCCGGAGACGAAGAAATTCGGCCGCGGTGATGAGCGTAGCCACATCAGGCAACCAAGTATTCGGAAGGTTAGCTCGAAGTCAGCTCACTACACAAACGGACAAACGAACAGGACCCCAGTCACTGCCTCAGGCGGACCCCCACCACTGCCTCAGGTGACCCCACCACTGCCTCAGACTGACAACCCCACCACTGCTCAGACTGACCCACACCACTGCCTCAGACTGACCCCCACACTGCCTCAGGCGGACCCCCACTGGGGCCCACTGGCCTCGACGGAACCCCCACCACTGCCTCAGCGGACCCCCACCATTGCCTCGGACGGACCCCCACCACCTGCCTCAGGCGACCCCACCATTGCCTCGACGGACCCACCCACCATTGGCCTCAGGCTTGACCCCACCACTGCCTCAGACTGACCCCCACCACTGACTCAGGCTGACCCCCACCACTGCCTCAGGCGGACCCCCACCACTGCCTCAGCCGGACCCCCACCACTGCCTCAGACTGACCCCCACCACTGACTCAGGCTGACCCCCACCACTGCCTCAGGCGGACCCCCACCACTGCCTCAGGCGACCCCCACCACTGCCTCGGACGGACTCCCACCACCGCCTCAAACGTCAGGCGAACCCCCGCCACTGCCTCAGGCTGACCCCCGCCACTGCCTTAGGCGGACTCCACCACTGCCTCGGGCGGACCCCCACCACTGCCTCAGGCTGACCCCGCCACTGCCTCAGACTGACCCCCACCACTGACTCAGGCTGACCCCCACCACTGCCTCAGGCGGACCCCCACCACTGCCTCAGGCGGACCCCCACCACTGCCTCAGACTGACCCCGCCACTGCCTCAGACTGACCCCCACCACTGCCTCAGGCTGACCCCGCCACTGCTCAGGCGGACCCCACCACTGCCTCCGGCTGACCCCCACCACTGCCTCGGACGGACCCTACCACCGCCTCAGATGTCAGGCGGACCCCCGCCACTGCCTCAAGCGGACCCCCACCACTGCCTCGGGCTGGACCCCCACCACCGCCTCAGGCTGACCCCCACCACTGCCTCGGACGGACCCTACCACCGCCTCAGACGTCAGGCGGACCCCCACCACTGCCTCGGGCGGACCCCCGCCACTGCCTCAGACGAACCCCCACCACCGCCTTAGGCGGACCATCAGTACTGACCCGTATGGCGCCGCAGGCC